CAGCTCGTCCGTGAAGCCGGCGACATAAATTTCCCGTAGGATGGCTGCGGGTGAGGGAGACGAAGGACGTGGGTAAGACCGGAGGCGCGAGGCTGGGCGCCGCCGGCACGAGTGGGCTCTGCCTGCCAAAGAAGGTGTTGCATGGGGAGAAAAGGCTGGGGGGAAAGACATAAAAAAAAGTCCAAAATGCATTAATTCGAACAAGGTCAGGCACTGATGACGCAACCCAAGGGCTTTGCCCAAGAGGTCGTGGTTTGGCCAGCCAGAGCGAGAGTGCAGCGGCGGATTTGCTGTCAAGAAAGGTGGGAAAAAGGAAAGAGGAAAGGAGAAAAAAAAAAAAAAAACAGAGAAGGAAAAGCGGAATCCCGGCGCCATGACCAACGCGGGGACGTCGAAGGAAGCGCGAGCGCGCGGCGGCGGGGAGGGAGGAGGGATCGGGGCTGCGAGGGCCGGTCTCACGGATGGGAAACGTGAGCCCACGCCTTGAGCCTTTGGCCGTGAATTAGGCCAAATAAAAGGGAAGTTGGGGCATGGTTCAGCTGACAGGAGAGCCGCGTGGGAGCATCGGAAAGGGCGGAAAAGCTGGAGGAAGAGCAGCTTTTCCCGGCTCGCGGCGGATTTCTGCGGCCTGTGCAGCTCGCCCTGTGCCATCAGGCACTGGGAGGCTTTGACACACAGAAACGCATCCTAGCGCGACCCTCGCTCGTGGAAGGAATCCCTTTCCCCTTGGCCTCCGGAGACGGCCGAGGAAGGATTTCATCGCCGCCATCGGTCTCCAAGCACGTGGAAGGAACCTGGCAGTCACCAGCGGCGGCGGGGCGGGGGAAAAGCCGCGTCTTCCTGGGGGACCGGGAGGATGGGAAAGCAAAGGAGACGAAAAGCAAACCCAGCTGGATCCGGGGTGAAAAATTCCTCAAGGTCCGGGCCCCCTCTGATGCAATCCGGCGCGGCCGTGACCTCAGCAGGAGGCGGGGGATGCCCCCGGCGTTACTTAAGAGCAGCGCCGTACGGAGATTTGCACGGAGCACCCGACTCTTGCTCGTGAGGCCCTGCCCAACACGGACCAACCTCCCGCAAATCCTGGGAGGGGGCTGGACCAAAGCCCAAGCGGGACACGGAGTCGGGGTTAAATACACCGATTTGGTTGAGGAGGTTCACAAAAAGAGGGGCGGGAGCCATTTGGAAGCGATAAAAAAGGGACAACCTGACCCGGAACGTGCAGCCTGGCAGCACGCCGGGGGCAAGGGAGGCGATGAGCCTTACCTCTGCGGGTAAGGATGCTGTGCTGGGGCTTGGTGGGGGGAAAAAACCACGAACCAACCATTATTGATAAATAATTCACAACAGCTCCTGCTGATCGACAGCTGTTCTACCAATGGGAGCGACCCCCGAATTTTCCTCGAAGCTCAGAGTCTTGGGATAAACAAGGCTCCGAGCTCGATCACGCGCGGCCCTCTCCTCTCCCCAGCCACTTCAGCAAACCACAAACCCCTACGGGAAGGGCCGGCGGGGAATTCGCTCTTCTCCTAAATAAAAGGGAGGCGAACCACAGGGAAGTCGGAAGCGGCAATTAGCGGCGGGAAGTATTCCCTTGGAACGGGGTCTCCCGGAACCTCGGCCGGCGGAGGAACTGGGGAATCCCATTGGGTTTTGTGGCGATATCGATGGA